TCCAAATACACTGTTCAAGGTTGCTTTTAACTTGATCGCGTGATAACGCTCGTGTACGAATAAAAAGTTTTCCAATCTTTAACTTGCCCGAGATGAATTATTTTCGACCTTGGCCGATTAGGTATACTTGGTAAGGACCTAGTGTTCGTCCTGTGAAAAGTAGTTTGAACTTTGACCCTCGGGTTTCTCGGTAAAGGTTTCGATATTCATCCCTGACCGAGAGAACCTCTCGGGAGTGTTTTCAATACTCAACCTTGGCTGAGAGGGTCTCTCGGGAGGGATTTAGTTAATCAACCTTGGCCGAGAGGGTTTCTCGGGAGGGATTTAGTATTCGCCTTTGGCCGAGGAATGGGTACTCGGGAGGGATTTGATGTTTCAACCTTGGCCGAGTGAGTTACTCAGGAGGGATTTGATGTTTCAACCTTGGCCGAGTGAGTTACTCGGGAGGGATTTGATGTTTCAACCTTAGCCGAGTGAGGTACTCGGGAGGGATTTGATGTTTCAACCTTAGCCGAGTGAAGTACTCGGGAGGGATTTAGTTAATCAACCTTGGCCGAAAAGGTTTCTCGGGAGGGATTTAGTTAATCAACCTTGGCCGAGCGAGAGTGCTCGGGAGGGAATTGTTCAACCTTGGCCGAGTGGAGGGCACTCGGGAGGGAATAAGTTATTTGACTTGTGATTAAACTGAGCAGATAAAAGATTCTTGAAAAGAGGCTTGTTTCATTGATATGGTGCCTCGTTAAAAACCTTTTCTCAGGAAAACCTCTTTTCACACTTTTTTAAGAGGGGAAAACCTGAGAAAAGGAAAAGAGTGCACCGAAACAATTACATGGTGTTTGCTAACTAAAATAGTGCTTCAAGTGTGTTGCATTCCATGTTCGGGGTATAGCTTTTCCATTGAGTTCTTCTAGTTTATAAGCTCTATTTTGCAGGTCATGCCTAACGCGATACGGGCCATCCCAGTTGGGTGCCAACTTCCCCTGAGTTTTGTCTTTCCTTGCTTCCCCCGTGACTCGCCATACTAGGTCTCCGGCTTGAAACTGACGTGGTTTTACCTTTATTCTAAGTTTCCTGGCTGCTTTGATTCGGCAAGCTTCCATGTTGACGAGAGAAGATTCGCTCACTTCGTCAACCAAGTCTAGTTCCACGTTGAGGGCTTCCTCGTTGATGTCATCGTTGAATTGCAGCCGTCGGAATGAGGGCTCTCCAACCTCTACCGGAATCATGGCATCGGTGCCGTAAGTTAGACGAAAGGGAGTTTCCTTGGTAAAACTTTGTGGAGTGCATCAATAAGCCCATAAGATTTCTGGTAGATGATCAAGCCATGAACCCTTGGCCTTCCCGAGCCGCCGCTTTAATTCTTTAAGGATAACCTTGTTTGCTGCTTCGGCTTGTCCATTGGATTGGGGATGCTCTACTGAAGTCATTTTATGCTTAATGCCTAATTCAAACAAAAAGTCATTGAAGCGCCGATCGGTGAACTATAAACCATTGTCGGTGATTAATGCATACAGAATTCCGAAGCGAGTGATGACATTTCTCCAGAAGAACTTCTGGACGTTGTTGGCCGTTATAGTAGCCACGGCTTCTGCTTCGATCCATTTAATGAAGTGATCAACTGCTACAATGAGGAACTTCACTTGCCCTTTGGCCGGTGGGAAGGGTCCCAGTATGTCCATGCCCCAAATGGAAAATGGCCATGGGGTCGTGATAAAGTGCAACACTTCTGGAGGCTGATGTGTTAGCGGCCCGAACTGTTGGCACGGTTTACACCGCTGAACAAATTCAGCGCAATCGGCGGCTAAGGTTGGCCAATAGTATCCTGCTCGGACAACTTTGGCTACGAGAGTTTGGCTGCCTGAGTGAGTTCCGCACACACCTTCGTGAATTTCCCGGAGAACGTAATGCGCCTGTTTAGGAGTGAGACATTTCAACAGGGGTGTGGAAACACCCCGTTTATACAGCTCTCCGGCTATCAGAGTGTATTGTGCGGCCGTGGTTCTCATTTTCTTGGCTTCGAGGGGATCCTCGGGTAGCTCTCCGGTCAGAAGGTGGTTCACTATGGCGTCCATCCAGCAATGGTTTCCTTGATCGACTTGCAAACATTCAGCTTCTTTAATGGTCAGGCTTTGCAGTTCTTGCTGCATCATACTACGCAAATGGCTAGTTTTCTTGCTACTGGCTAGTTTAGCTAGCTGGTCGGCCCTGGCGTTGAGTTCCCGGGGAGTGTGTTTCACTTCGACAACTTCAAAATTGTTTTTTAGCTTCTGGAAAGCATGAAAGTACAAAAGTAGTGTTGGTTCTTTGATCTGGAAAGTGTCGTTGACTTGCCCTATCACCACTTGCGAGTCACTGAAACATTGGATTCTAGTGATGCCCAGGTCGTTTGCCAGCCTTAGTCCCGCGAGAAGGGCCTCGTACTCGGCTTGGTTATTAGAAGTCTTAAATCAGAACCGTAGTGACTGCTCAATCACCATTTTACCAGGACCTTCCAAAATGATGTCGGCGCCGCTGCCCTACTGGTTTGACGATCCGTCCACATGTAGAGTCCAAACGTGTGGCTCGGAAAGTATTTGCGGTGTGAATTCATTTATGAAGTCGGCCATGCTTTGCGCTTTGATGGGTCCTCTTGGTTCAAAATGAATGTAAAATTGCGATAATTCTATGGACCAAGCAACCATTCGCTCGGCCAACTCAGGTTTCCGCAAGACCTTGACAATTGGGCTATCCGTTTGGACGAGAACTCGGTGGCTCTGGAAGTAATGTCGGAGACGTCTGGCTATGTGTACAAGAGCCAAAGCTATTTTTTCGAGATGCTGATATCTCGTTTCGGCTTCCTGTAAAACCCGGCTGATGAAGTACACCGACATCTGCTCCGTTGTCTCTTGCACCAATACGATGCTGATGGCCTTTTCTGAAATCGATATGTATACTATCATATCTAGCTAGGAATCCGGCTTGGCCAACAATGGTGGAGCTGCTAGCATCGCTTTGAAGTTTTGAAAAGCTGACTCGCATTCTTCGTTCCACTGAAACTTGGTGGCTTTCTTTAATAGAGACATAATGGGTCTTGATTTGTTCGCCATGCAAGGTAGGAAACGAGCCAGGGAGGCGATGCGTCCAGCCAATCGTTGTACTTCCTTTAAGTTATGGGGGCTTCTCATATTGATGATAGCCTGGCATTTGTCGGGATTGGCTTCTATTCCTCTTCTTGATAACATAAAACCCAGAAATTTTCCACCAGCAACCCCGAAAGTGCATTTATCCGGATTCAACTGCATGTGGTGCCTTCTTACCTCGTCAAAAATCGTGCGGAGGTCTTTCAGGTGGTTTTCGGCAGAGGTAGACTTAATCACCATATCGTCCACATACACTTCCAAGCACGTTCCGATCTGCCGACGAAAAATCTTGTCCATGAGGCACTGGTAGGTCGCTCCAGCATTCCTTAGACTGAATGGCATTACCTTGTAACAAAAGTTAGCCGAATCAGTGATGAATGTCGTCTTTCCCTCATCGGGTTGGTACATGGGTACCTGGTTGTACCCTGAGTATGCGTCAAGAAAACTCAGCCTTTTATGGCCAGCCGCTCCGTCAACCAGGGCATCGATGTGGGGTAGGGGGTAAGCGTCCTTCGGACACGCCTTATTTAAATCAGTATAATCGGTGCACATCCGTCATTTGCCGTTTGCTTTCTTGACCATCACCACGTTGGCCAATCATGTGGAGTATTTAACTTCCCTGATGAATCCCGCCTGAAGCAGCTTGGTCGTTTCCTCTCTTACCGTTTGGCCCCTTTCTCCCCCCATCTTTCTCTTCTTCTGTGCGATGGGTTTTGCGTCTCGGCAGACAGAGAGTCGGTGGCAATGGAAGGTTGGGTTGATGCCCGACATGTCGGCTGCTGTCCAGGCGAATAGGTCCGAGTACTTCTGAATGACTTGCTTAATGTCCTTTGCTTCAGTTTCTGTCAACTGAGAACTCAAATAGGTAAATTGTTCCTCCTTTTTGCCGAGCTGGAATGGGATCGTGGTTTCCGTTGGCTCGACCCTGTGCTCATCTTCTATTCTAGGGTCAAGTTCTAGGTCTTCGATCAGCCTATGTTGGTTGTTATCGCCGATGACATTGACATCTCGGCTCGTCCTCGGAGTAGGCTGTACCTTGAGGCTGGCGAAGTAACATTCGCGGGCCGTCTTTTGATCTGCGTGCGGAGTGATGATCGTTCCTTCCTTAGAGGGAAACTTCATAGCCAAGTGGGGAGTGGAGACGATGGCCCGAAGTTTGTTCAGGGAAGGTCGGCCCAACAGGATGTTGTACGAGGTGTTGGCATGCACCACAACGTATCGTACTTTAATCCTTCGTCTTTGCTGGCCGTCTCTGAAATAGGTGTACAAGTCAACCGTTCCCCGAGTGTCCACCCGTTCGCTCGAAAATCCCACCAAGGGTTAATCATAAGGCACCAACTCTTGTTCTGGGATGCCTAGCTGCTCGAAAGTCTTCCAATACAAGATATCCGTCGAGCTTCATTGATCAACAAGCGTCTTTCTCACAATACAGTTGTTAATTTCCATACTGATGACCATGGGATCATCTTGCACCGGGTCGACGCCTTGAAAGTCTCGGTCAGTGAATGTAATAGGGGGCATGTGGATCGAGGCTACTCGTCATATGGCGTTGACCGACTTGATTGCTCTTAAGTGTCTCTTGCGGGTTGAGGACGTGCTTCCCCCTCCTACAAACCCTCCCGCAATGGTGTTTATCACCCTCCTAGGTTGATTCCTGTCCCGTTGCTGATTGTTTCTTTCCTGAGACCGGCTACGTTTGTGAGATCTGTCTCTCGGAGGTGGCCTGTCTCGGTTCTCCCTTCTATACTCCCCCCTACCAGAGCGGTAATCGTTCTTTCTGTTATCTGCTGGTCGAACGAAGTTTTGAAGATGTCCGGCCTTAACGAGGTCTTTAATGTGATCTCGAAGGGCAGAGCACTCTTCGGTAGTATGCCCTCTGTTCTAGTGGAACTCGCACGTTTTCGTCTTATCTGCATGAGGCGGGGTCATGGCTCTCCGAGGAACAGCCAGGACTTCGGTGGCTAAGGCCTGTTCCAACACCTTGGCTTTGCTGGTGTTGAGTGGCGTGTACTGCATGTATCTTGGCCCTCTGTTATTCTTCTCGCGGTCGGGTATGTCTCGAGGGCGGGATCTGGGGGGCTCTTTGTCACCTTCTTTCTTTGCGAGGAATAGGTCGGGTCGGTTTTGACTTCGAAACTCGGCCAATTCCTCCATCTGCATGTATTTTGTGGCTTTTTGCCTCAGGTCGTCCAAGTCCCAGGGTGGCTTTTTACATAGGCTGTTGACGAAAGGCCCGGGCCTTAGTGCCGTGGTCAGGTGGTGCATTGCCACGGCTGGGTCCAGGTTTCGAATAGATAGTGTCATTTTTCCGAACCTTTCCATGAAGGTTCGCAGAGGTTCCTTCTTTTCTTGGAAAATGTTGACTAATGCGATTGACGTGAGCTGATGAGGACGGCTCGTGGCAAACTGTATCACGAACCGGGAAGACAAGGCTGTGAACAAGTCTACCGATCCGGGTGGGATCGTGAACCAATTAAGCGTCGGTCCTTTCAGCGAGGTAGGGAAGACTTTACACATGATAGCGTCATCATCAGTGTACATGCTGACCTGGGCAACGAATGCATCAAGGTGTTCTTCTGGGTCGGCGGTTCTGTCATACTTCTCTAAGGCCAAGTTTTTCCAATTGTCAGGCAGACGGGCCCCGACAATGTCCGGAGTAAACGGCGTTCTCCCCTGTCGTCATTGTTGATCGAGAGTAGTAGTTGTCACTCCCACTGGGGGTTTCGGAGCTCTTATTTCTTTGTACCATCCCGACAATTCCCCATGATCCCGGGTTGATTGGGTGTTGGGGATATCATGAGATGGATGCCATGATCGGTTGTCGCTTCTAAGCTTGGCATTCTCTCTTCTAAGGACCGACAACTCATGGGTGTCTTTTTCTCAGAGCCTCTTTAGTTCCATCATTTCGGCCTTCAATTGCTCAATGGCCGATGACGGGTCCGGAGGTTGAGACCGGGCTGTGTATGACTCTTCCACTCCTTCCTCGTTCTGATTCGTTCGCTGGGTAACGTACCTCATTTATGTCCCATCACCTGTGTATTTATAGTGACATGTTTGGGCCTGGTGGGCCTTCTGTCTTGGGAGATGGGTAACACTTGGATTAACCTTAATCTCTCTTAATCAGGCATGGTAATTATAGTATAACGGGTATCTAGTTTGCCACGTGTTTACCGTGAGTTGTCTTTCCTTTAGGTCTTCGGCCAAGCATAAGGCCAAAGGGGTACTCGGCTTGGCCTGGTGCCGAAGGAGTACTCGGTCTAGCTTGGGGCCGAAGAGGTATTCGACCTGACCTGGGACCGAAGGGGTATTCGACTTGGCTGGAGGTCGAAGGGGTGTTCGGCTTGGCTTGAGGCCGAAGGGGTGTCTTACGTAACTTAGGTGCTTTGTTCTTGGGATGTTTCCTTGTTTTTCATGGGAAAAGTATTTGGTTACCCCCAAGGCCTGGCATGGCTTCGGCTCGGCTCAGGGCCGAAGGGGGGTTCGGCTGAGTAAAGGGCTGAAGGGGTGGTGTCTTCGGTTTTGGTGGTTGTTTTGGCCTATGAGCCGAGGCCGAAGGGGTGGTGTCTTTGGTTTTGGTGATTGTTTCGGCCTACGAGCCGGGGCCGAAAGGGTGGTGTCTTCGGTCTTGGTGGTTGTTTCGGCCTACGAGCCAGCCGAGGGAGTACCTACTAGTACACTATCTAATAAAATAATCATAATAGTATATATAAATAAATTGTATGCATGAACTCTAAATTGAGGAAAAGTGGCTTCAATTTCATTTCCACTTAGTTGAAATATACACCGATGCTTGCTGGGCCGGGAACGATGACAAGACTTGACTTTCTGGGGAGAAAACCTACTACTTTTGTTTACAACTCTTTATACTTTGGATTTCTATAGTCTTTGTTTATCTAGGTGTTGATTTTATTTCTATCTAATTATTTGATTCACTAAATTGTTTCATGATTGCACTCAATTTGTATCACAATTAATGCTCACACTGCATCTGGGCAAAGTTAAGGAATGAGAACAACCTCCAAATGCCCAATTTTAATCAAAATACTACATGAAAATTTATTATTAACAATAATTATTTAATAATAATAAATGAATTGCTTTCTTTTTTATTATTTAATAAAAATATTAATGATTAATAAATAATAGTTACTAAAAATATTTATACATTATATTAAAATTTATTATTAGTGAAAATAATTTAATGGTAATAAACTAATTGTTTCAATTTTATTATTTAAATGAAAATATTAATGGCTAACAAATAATTGTCACTAAAAATGTATTTATAAGAGTAATTAATGAAAATGGTCAATTAAAAAGTAAGATAAAGTTTTAGGCTAAAACACTAATTTGGTCCCTTATATTAATTGTCTCATTTCTTTAACCCATCTTTACTTGTGGTCCATACCTAATCTTAACACTTCTCACAGCTACCTGCAAATGATTGCCAAGCTACCAAAACTAAGACAACTAAGTTTAAGGGATTGTAGCCTTTCCGATCATTTTATCTTTTCATTGAGGTCTTCTACATTCAATTTTTCTACTTCCCTTTTCCTCCTTGATCTATCCTTGAACACCTTCACGTCACCAATGATATTCCAGTGGGTGTCAAACATCACTTCCAACCTTGTTGAGCTTGATCTTAGTGAAAATCTCTTGGAGGTTTCCACATCCAATCATTTTGGCATGGTCAAGATGAATTTGCTTGAGCACCTTCACCTCTCTTATAATAGATTGAAGGGTGAGGTTTTGAAATCCTTCATGAATATATGCACCTTACATTCTTTATACATGAATGGAAACAATTTGACTGAAGACCTTTCATCAATTCTTCATAATTTGTTTGATGGTTGTGTTAGACACTCATTACAAGAATTGGATTTGAGTTTCAATCAAATCATAGGCTCCTTACCTGACTTTTCAGTATTTTCATCTTTAAAAATCTTGGATCTTTCCACAAATCAGTTGAGTGGGAAGATACCTGAAGACAACGAATTGTCATCTCAAATGGAGTCTTTATTCATTAGCTCAAACTCTTTAGAAGGTGGAGTTCCAAAATCATTTGGGAGAGCGTGTACTTTGGGCTCATTGGACCTTTCTAATAATAGTTTAAGTGAAGAGCTATCAGTAATATTTGATCACTTGTCCGGGTGTTCTAGATACTCATTGCAAGCATTAAACTTGGAAATAAATAGAATCAATGGTACGTTGCCTGACCTTTCAATACTCTCATCTTTAAAAATATTGATTCTTTCTGAAAATCATTTAAGTGGAAAAATTCCTGAAAACAACATATTGTCATATCAATTGAAGTTTTTGTCAATTAGCTCAAACTCTTTAGAAGGTGGACTTCCAAAATCATTTGGCAATGCATGTGCTTTATACTCATTGGACATGTCTAACAATAGCTTGGGTGAAGAGTTTACGAAAATAATCCATCACCTATCTGGATGTGCTAGATATTCATTGAAATATTTATATCTAAGCATGAATCAAATCAATGGGACACTACCTGACCTCTCAATATTCTCATCTTTAAAAATATTATATCTTGGTGGAAACAAGTTAAATGGAGACATTCCTAAAGATATTGGATTTCCACCTCGCCTAGAAAGTCTAGATATGCGATCAAATTCCTTAAAAGGTGTGTTCACTGACTACCATTTCACTAATGTATCTATGTTAAACTTCTTGGACTTATCTGAGAACTCATTATTGACCTTGAAGTTCACACAAAATTGGGTTCCACCATTTCAATTGAGCTACATAAGATTGCGATCTTGATCTCAAATGGAGTCTTTATTCATTAGCTCAAACTCTTTAGAAGGTGGAGTTCCAAAATCATTTGGGAGAGCGTGTACTTTGGGCTCATTGGACCTTTCTAATAATAGTTTAAGGGAAGAGCTATCAGTAATATACATCTATATGGCATCCACGTGGGAAAAAGTTAACTCCGTTTAAATAATTTGGACGGAAGTCCCAAATTGAAACCAATTAATTTTTAAGGGACCAAATTGAAACCAATTAATTAGTTTGGGACCAAATTGAAACCAAAAATAAAAGTGGGACTAAATTGAAACAAACAATTATTATAAGGGACCAAATTAGTGTTTTAGCCTAAAGTTTTACTTCATTTTATTGAAAAAAAAGTTTAAGTCTCATATTGTCTAGAAAAAAGACAACTAAAGAGTATATAAGTGGAGGCAACTCTCACTCTACAAACTAGTTATATAGGGTTGAATTAGATTCGTAATTAACTATTAATTATAAGATATATGGTATCAAATTACTCATTATTTATTCACGTGTCAAGCTCAATAATGATAGACTTGAGGGGTGTATTGAAAAAAATTTAAGTCTCACATTGACTAAAAATAAGACAATTAAAAAGTATATAACTAAAGGATAATCCTCACCTTACAAATCCTCCATCGACTAGAGATAAAACAATTAAAGAATATATAAGTTATGAATCATTTCTTAAATTTTTAGTAATAATATTAAATGTCAATAAAAAAATGTCACAAAAATTTATACATTTTTTCTCTGATAAAATATTTTGTAGTCATTTTTATTGCTACTAAAAATAATATAATATTTTGTAGTCATTTTTATTATCACTAAAAATAATATTTTGTTGTAGTGCAAGCAGTAAATGGGAATTAACTAGGGATCAATATATATAACCTATTTTTACTGTTTCTGCTCAATACCTGCTTTTAATTTTTCAATTTTATGATTAAGCATGCTTAATATCTCAGTTGACCTATGAAGTTACATTTGTAAGATTTGTTAAACTTTGACATTAAAATATCTATTATGCACGATTTTCTCTTATTTTTCAAATCTCGTTATTGATCCAAGCACGCTATTTCTTTTTAGTTAACATTTCATCATCTCATGCATTTCTGCTTAGGAACTTGACATTTATCTTTGTAATTTTTATTCTACTCATCTTCGCAATTAAATGATTTAGGTCATTTTAAAAGATTAACTCGGGCAGATATATAAAGCTTAATTATCCTATGTTTTCCTTTGCTATAACCCCTTTGAGTTTGATTGAATCATATATTTGAAATCAATAAAACAGACAACGAAAGATTTTTCAAATATATTTTTAAAATTTCTGCCAAGTCAAAAGCTTAGTTTCTCAAAATAAATCATACACATGTGTTGGCCACAATACAACCTCACAATAAAGTCCTTTTGGTAATCCCAATTCCCTAGTAATATTAATTTCAGTACAACCTTGGAGATTTATCAAGTGTGTGTGATTGATGACGATTGAGCGTTTAAGTGAACCTTAAACACCAAACGGGAGCATAAACACAATATTTTGAGTAATTATCATTATCACCTTCACATGCTAAAAAAGATAATTAAAATTAATGGTGTATTTAGGATAAATGACTTAGTAGAGAATGAAGAAGAAATGGAGGGATTATCAAGAAATTAAAAAAAAAAATTGTTTAGAAGAGATGATTTTAGTAGATTTGTCAGAAAATTGTAGTGGGACCCTTGTGGATTTAATTTCACTTTCTTAAAGATGGATTTGTGTGGAACTTTTCACCAAAAAAATATATGGACAAGACTATCCCTACGTTATTATCTAAATAATTAGTTAGTAAAAGGTAAAAATGTAATTATCTAAATAATATATTTTTACATAAAAATATAACTATATAATATACACTTTTAAAATACCAAATTTTCTCTATTTCTCACCTAATTTCCCTCTACCAAGTAACTACAAATTTCACGCTATTTTTTTTTATCCATTTCTTATCAAATCAATTTTCACTCATTTTTTTATATTCTGCTTAATTCTTCCCCCTCTCCCAACAAAACATAAGAGGCATGTTTACTAATTAATTTCAAGGTTGAAATCTAAAAGACATTTAGTCACATCCCTTATGGTTCAAAAATGGTTCTTTTTGGGTGTACATGATCTACACCCCTCCAATCGTGCTTTGAAAATTGAATAATAAAACTCCTATTGTATAGAAAATTAGATCACACGATAATCTCTATCATCTTATTTTACCATCAAACTTACATTATTTGCCTTTTTTAATCACTCATTAATCTGGTGGATGACACTTTGCAACTCTTGTTAGTATTCAAATTTAACAAGATCTTGACAAGAATAAAAATCAAAACTTTACTATCTATCCCTTGATATCAAGGATAAATAGTTGATTGTATAGCCTGCATAGAAAGTTGATAATGCAGAAAGGGGGAGCACTTATGAGGCACTACAAGAAAAATTGGTATTTCAGACGGCCAAAATCCGTGGGAAATGCCCAAAATTCGTGGGTAATGAGGTATTTCCGACGGATTACCGACGGACATCAATCCGTCGGTAAATTGGTCGTCTGAAATATTACCGACGAATTTTTATCCGTGGGTAACTTTCCCACGGATTTTCCCACGGATTTATCCGTGGGTAATTTCCCACGGATAAATCCGTGGGAAATTACCCACGGATTTATCCGTGGGAAATTACCCACGAAAAAATCCGTGGGAAATTACCCACGGATTTATCCGTGGGAAATTTCCCACGGATAAATCCGTGAGAAATCCGTAGGAATTGTTTTTTTTTTTAATGCAAAATTTTATTAAACTATTACATCTATTCCCTATATTTTGGAAGGTTATCAAGCTCATGTCAAGAGTGTATTCATTCCATAAATAAACTAATTAGATTAAGCATTCATTTTAGAAAGTAGCTGGTCATCTCTCTGTCCTCACGCGCGCGCAGAAACTCAAGAAGATGGACGCGTTGGAGGAACAAAATAGGAAGCTTACAGCCGAGCTCTTACAGCTCAAGGAGCAAATGGCGCAAATGATGGAACTCATGCGTCACCAAAACATACACGGGGCTCAACACAATGACCATGATTTAAAAATGATTATTTGAAAACACATGTAATTTTATTAAAAAATTTCTTCAAAAGAAATTGAATTAAACCCACTAATACTACTTTTTTAACCTCAAGTCACAGAATCAGTCATAAGCTGCCGAAAACTATATTAATTTATAAATTAGCAACATTGTCACATGCAGCATCACATAATAATGTTTACTTTCTTAGTCTCGTGAACCAACAGGCCCCATCTCTTCCTTTGGCATTTTACTCACCAACAACAAGGGAACAAACATCCAAGCAAAATTTATTGTTTTATTATACTATTCAATTCACTATGTATTATAATATTTAGTTTCATGGAGACTGATCAATAGATAAACATAATCTTGAATAAGTGATTGTGTTAAATATCATAAGATAAGTTTTAATTGCAAACTAATAAACACGGAAATGAAGTGATATAGTTGTTCTAGTTTAACTAATAATAAATTTATATTCTTAAGTATGAACTCGGCAAGAGAAGTTTAATTGCAACCTACATTATTCCTATCTTTATCCAATTTCGCACCCCACCAAAATTGTGTTCTGCGGTGGTAAAGCAAACTAAAATCACTTCTCTCAACAGTTTGGTGGTTTTTGCATGATTGCACCAATAGCCTTTTTCCTGGTTTGCCTTATTGTTTTCAATTGTCTTTATCATAGAGGGCAAGATAGTACAAAGGACAGTTAAACAGGAATAAGAGCATACTTGAATAGTGTTAGCCTCGTTATTTATTAGGAAGCACAAACACCAATTGCCTTCACTCATTATAGACACAGTTTATATATTAATTAATATATAATTCAATACAATATATAATTCATTGATTAACACTATTAATTACACAAAACTAAACTGGAATAAAATTGAGAATCAAGAAGTATTTATTGTATTAACATTATATTATAACTAGAACGTAATTATTATCTTTGAATATAAAAAATTAGAATATCAACACCTAAATCAACAAACAGACCCACATCCATATTAACAAAATATAAGTGTATATTTCATAAAACTTGAATTTACCTTAAAGCGTTGAAAGAAAATATCTTTATCAGCCGGGGGAATTTCTCCCCATGTGACCCAGGGTGCATGATATTGCTGCTTAATGGTCCGTGTGATAGCACTTGATGCAATCTTTGATGGGAGAAACCTACACAAAACAAAGACAATATTTTAAACCTTAATAAACATAAATTTACTTATAATTAAGAAATTATGTAAATATTAATTTATTCTTACCCATTACGAGTAGGTTTAATTAAAGGAAGATCATCAAGTGGCGGGTCCTCATCATTTAAGTCTTCATTAGGTGTTCCTATATCATCTGGGGATGGAGCTGGTGTGGATGTAACACCTGGGGATGGAGATGGTGTAGAATGAATACCTACGGATGGGGATGACATAGAACCAATAACTGGGGATGAGGATGGTCTGGATGCCATAACTGGGGATGGGGATTGTGTGGATGCTACAACTGGGGATGGGATAGATGATGTGAAGTTGTCTCTGCGTGAGAATACTTTAATCACATATTTGTTCTTCCCCTTCATTACCTGCTTCCCCTTATTCCTACTAGGTGATGGTGGACGGGGAGGGTCACAACCTCCTGATGACATATCTATTCATTCAAAATAAAGTTACAAAATAATACCCAAAATGAAACTATAATATAAAAATAGACAACAAATCAAATTTATAATACTAGTTGCATAATTATGATTACAGTTTGATATCAAAATCATACACTTTAAATCCAATTTTTCTAATCCTAATCCGAAATATAGTCTTCAAACTCATCTTCAGAATCATCATGAAATTCATTTTCTTCATTGTTTTCTGCCAAATCATTTTCTTCATTGATTTGCTCATTGACTTCTTCAGGATCAACTTCTAAATCTTGTAATCCCCTAATTCCTTCAACTTCAATGACTTCATTAGCATGTAACATTTCATCTACTTGATAAGGTACATCATGTTCTATATCATTAGATTCTATTCTACCCCTTGGTTTTGTTTTGATTGCAACACACCAACCACGTTTATCCCTTCGTGTTGCAGGATACGGGGCATAATACACTTGTCTTACATTGTGTGCAATGATAAACGGATCAAATAGTTGATATCTTCTATCCATTATAATGTCGACAATATTATATTTGGGATCAATTCTTGTACCTCTACTTGATGGATCAAACCAATCACAATAAAATACCACAACTTTTTTAGGATATGTTGAGGTGTTGTACTCTAACTCATACATGTGTTGAATAACTCCATAAAAATCATCTTCTCCTCCTTCTATAAGTCTATGGATACATACTTGATTCTTGAACCATGTAGGAAATTCTGCATGTATACGAGTAGAAGCATTTGATTCACTTATTTGTTGGGATTGTAGGAATGAACTGTCCAATTATATCACTCAAATTGTAAATGATAAGGATATTGAAGTCCTAATAGCTTTATTCTTTATAGATCGTTTAGCATCACCCATGAATCTATAAAATGTAATAACTTATTAATAATTGATAAGAATTAAACAAAAGTAATTTCATTGAATTTCAGTCATAATTCTATTACCTTTCAAACGGATACATCCACCTATATTGGACTGGTCCACCAAGTTTAGCTTCATATGCTAAATGAACAGGGAGATGCTCCATTGAATCAAAGAATCCTGGAGGGAATATTCTCTCCAACTTGCAGAGAATAATTGGAATGTTTTTTTCCATCTTACTCAGATCATCCTCCCTCAATGTTGTAGAGCACAAATCTTTGAAGAAATTACTTACTTCAATAAGTGGATTTAAAACATGAACGGGTAATGAACTAAAGGCAATTGGAAGCAGACACTCCATAAATACATGACAATCATGACTTTTCATTCCAATCATTTTTCTCTTGTCAACATCAACGCATCTTGCCAAATTAGAAGAATAACCATCAGGCATCCTAAGTTCTTTTATCCACTGATAAACTAGTTTTGCTTGCTCTACAGTTAATGTGTAGTTTGCTTTGGGCTTTAACATCTTCCCATTATTTTGTGGCTTTAACTCCAAGTCTTTTCGCCTACAATACAAAGCTAAGTCCTTCCTTGCCTTTTCATTGTCTTTAGTCTTATCAGATACATTCATCACAGTGTTGAATATGTTGTCAAAGAAGTTTTTTTCTATGTGCATAACATCAAGGTTATGTCTCAACAAATTGTCTTTCCAGTAAGGAAGATCCCAAAAGATACTTCTTTTTGTCCAGTTATGTCGTTGTCCATGTCCATCTAGTCTAAGCACACCATCTTCTATGACTTTTGGTAAATTCATGACTCTATGCCAAACTTCTTCGGGAGTCAACATAGTTGGTGGCCCATCTATTTCAACTTCACCCTTTTTAAATGCATTCTTGTTCCTCCTAAATGCATGATCGCTAGATAAAAATCTACGATGTGAGTCAAACCATGAAGGCTTTGTTGCATTTTTTAAAGTAAATGCCTTTGTATGCTCCATGCAATGAGGACATGCAAATCTACCATGAGTGCTCCAACCAGACAACATGCCATAAGCAGGGAAGTCATTGATAGTCCACATCAAAGCTGCCCTCATCATGAAATTTTGCTTCCTTGAAATATCATATGTTAGAACACCGTTCCACAACCTTCTCAAATCATCAATTAAGGGTTGTAAATAAACATCAATACCAGCCTTTGGATTAGATGGGCCTGGTATGACACAACTTAGAAACATATAAGGTTTAGACATGCACATTTCTGGAGGAAGATTATATGGAGTAACAATTATTGGCCAACAAGAATATGGTGCAGTTGATGCTTGAATATATGGGGTAAATCCATCAGAGCATAAACCAAGTCGAACGTTACGTGGATCAATGGCAAAATCTGGATGGACGCGATCAAAATGCTTCCAGGCTTCACCGTCAGATGGATGACGTAATATACCCGAACTTCTTCTATTGTCATAGTGCCATGTCATTTGCCCAGCAGTTTGCATTGATGCAAACATCCTTTGTAACCTTGGAATTATAGGCAAATAGAACATGGCCTTAACTGGAACTGGTTTTTTATTAGTTGTTCCAGTGTTATGGTTCCGATACCTAGGCTTATGGCAAAATCTGCATTCAATTAACTCTCCATCATTTTTTCCATATTCATTATCATAAAACAACATGCAACCATCAACACAATAATCAATCCTCTTTGTCTCTAATCCCAACTTTGATACTAGTTTTTTTGCATCATAATAATTTTTTGGCAAACCCCTTTTAATGGGTGTGGCGTCCAATAACATTTGGCAAATAAAATCTAAGCATTGATCAGGAACTTTCCAATTGGATTTGCAGGCTAACAACCTCACACACATAGATAATTTAGACTAGGATGCCCCTTCATACAATGGCTTATTTGCCTCTAGCAA